CTCACTGTAAACTATTTAATCATCACCAAATTCTGTGTTATTATGACCGATCATAACTCAGCTTTATGCAGACATATTTAGCATGGTGTACAGGGCCGCTTCTTGGCATAGGCGACATAGGCGGTCACCTAGGGCGCCAGATCTGGGGGGGGGGGGGCGCTGCGCTGGCAGCTCTGGGAGGGAAAAAAACATTTTGACTGTTTGCGCTCATCCTAATTTTCGGCCTTGATATAACAGCATTCATAATTAAGTCAAGGTAACACCCTTTTCACCCCGGTTACACTTTTCATCTGCCCTGTACGATGGGCGCTGTAAGTGATGAAAGTGGGGGGTGTTGGCTTATCAGGCGTCCGCAGCTCACAGCCAAAGTGGGTGTGGGATCGAGCGAGAGAGATAAATGCAATTTATGTAAACAAATATTTCCAAGGCACTCTTTTATAATTATTGGGATAAACAGGTTTGAAATCATTTCAATGTATACTATAGGACAGAAAACCAAAAATATCGTTTAAAACTGGAGAGATACAAAAATATGCATAAATAAATGTTAACTGGTCAAATAAGATATGAATGAACAACAAAAATAAAATAAGTTGCATTTATTTGCTATTGGCTATGGTAGGTTATTGGTTGTGTTCACATACTTATTTGATTATTAAAATGTAAACCAATCTTTTTCATATGGGTGTTTAGAGTTGTACCCCCTAGGTCAGGTCTCTAGTAATGTGTGCTCAAAGTGCACCCGATTGAAGCATTTTACTTTAAATGTTCAAACATTTCTTCCCGGGGGGGCATACCCCCGGTCCCCACTAGAGGATGTGACGTCCACACCCCAATTCAAACATGTTCATACAATACCGAATACATTTGAAGCCTTTTTGATGTATATTACCAGCATGTCAATACGTTTCTGTTTTTGTAGTATATTGGTCTTTTGTAGAGATTTTTCATTTATTCTTTATATATTCTATTGTGTATTCCTTGGGTACTTTTATCTTTTCTATTGTACGATTGAAGTAAATGTGGGAAGCGTTTAACAACAGCCATTTACTTCAAAGATTGTTCTCAATGTTATTCTTATTTTTGTTAATCCTGGAAGAATGCCAGAAAAAAAGACATTCTCTTCAAGAATAAAAAAAAACATGACATTAGTAATTGTGAAAACAAATTAAATAAGTTGTTAGGTTAATTCAGGGCCGCTTCTTGGCATAGGCGACATAGGTGGTCGCCTAGGGCGCCAGATCTGGGGGGGGGCGCCGCGCTGGCAGCTTTGGGAGGGAAAAAAACATTTTGACTGTTTGCGCTCATCCTAATTTTCGGCCTTGATGTAACAGCATTCATAATTAAGTCAAGGTAACACCCTTTTCACCCCGGTTACACTTTTCATCTGCCCTGTACGATGGGCGCTGTAAGTGATGAAAGTGGGGGGTGTTGGCTTATCAGGCATCCGCAGCTCACAGCCAAAGTGGGTGTGGGATCGAGCGAGAGAGATAAATGCAATTTATGTAAACAAATATTTCCAAGGCACTCTTTTATAATTATTGGGATAAACAGGTTTGAAATCATTCCAATGTATACTATAGGACAGAAAACCAAAAATATCGTTTAAAACTTGAGAGATACAAAAATACAGATCAGTTCGATAAAGTCATGCCAAAACAGCGACATTTTACACGATAAATACGGGTTTAAATAGCAGCATTTGCCACGGAAGTCGAGTGGCAGCTACCGTAAACCTTCGCTTACTCTGGCATCTTGTGGCAACTCCCGTTGAGCAGCGGCAGATGCCTCGGCAAGTTGTGGCATCTGTGTTATATGCCGGAAGTACTTGCCACAGCTACCACAGAGTAGCGGCCTCTGTGGCATATGCCGGAAGGACTTGCCACAGCTACCACAGAGTAGCGGCCTCTGTGGCATATGCCGGAAGGACTTGCCACAGCTACCACAGAGTAGCGGCCTCTGTGGCATATGCCGGAAGGACTTGCTACAGCTACCACAGAGTAGCGGCCTCTGTGGCATATGCCGGAAGGACTTGCTACAGCTACCACAGAGTAGCGGCCTCTGTGGCATATGCCGGAAGGACTTGCCACTGCCTGCAGATGCCACGAAATGAGCCAGGCCCTACTGCGTTTTTCTGTACTTGGTGTGAACCATAGGTGTGAACGCTGCTAGATGACATAGTTACCCAGCTGGTGCACTCCACTCCAGAACGATGTTCCGGGACTTGTCCTGTCGAACGATTTATTTTTCGATGTTATGAACATTACAAATGTTGTTCATTCTTATTAACTACCATCCTTAATGGAAGAGTGTATCATGCCTCATATTGCACCCCTCTTTGTTCTAATGCGTCTTTTTTTACCCCAAGAGATGTTATTGTTAACCATGCTTTGGTACATTAAACTTAGCCTGTTCTCTGTTTTATTTTTTTAGCAAGGATGACACAACGGAGCAGGAGAAAGACTCCTGAACAGGATGCATTCTGGGCAGAGACAAACCCTTCCTAGAGGCCAGGTTCATCAACACATTTAAAGGTAAGCTATCTCATACAGTATGTCGTATCAAAGACCGTATAGCATTGTTCCATCAATATGGTCGAACTGGGCACACAGGGAACCCTGACCTTTTAGCCATTGCTCTTCGGTCATCAGCCTCACGTATTTTCAACAATGTACGTTTTCAGGATATGTAATATGTAAATGTGTGCCCCTCTCATTGAAAAACAACACTGTATACCAAATCCATTGTGTCCTAACCTGCCTGACACCCGCCGTGTTTAGAGATGCTTTGACTACACTTTTGGGGAGCCATGGTGAAGGTGTCTGCTCCATGCACCCCAGGGCACTGAGGAGAGGCTTCACAGAGCCAGGGTTGTTTGGCAGGGTTAGCAAACTACCCGGCCCTTATTATTATATCATGAAGCCTTTTTAACCATGCATATGATCATTTATTGAAATCAAATGTGTACAACAGAACTTATGATAGCACAACATTGTCTATCCTCTCAATTTAGCCTCTTAATTATGACACTGCACAATAATGGTACATTTAACTTTAAAATATAACATTTGTGTTGACATGTTATGTTTTATTTTGTATATGAACAAAGTACTATTGCTTAACAAGTATCTTCTAATATGTTGTAACATCTGATCTGAACATTAGACGGAACATGCTGATTAAAGCAGTGCTCTGATTATTTACAATGAAATGCAATATAAAATAATGTGTCACTTCATACCAGTGAATAATCGTGATCTCATCGGGAACTCACCCCTGGATATAGTCAAATCACAGCTACCCTCAACCCTAGCAGTGTTGGCATCACGATGTTAAGCGTTTCAAAGTACTGTTAACCAACGCCTTGTGCTTTTCACTGTGGAGCTTTGTTGCAGAAAGGAGTGCGTGCTGATCAAACCATGTTACTCCGTATTTACCTGCAAGGCCCTTTACATGTCGGAGACTAACTTGGATGAAGCTTGTGTGGATAGCAGTGTTAGGCATCTAACACACTCATGGCAAATATTTACAGATAATTGGGTAATGTTTAATGTTAATGCGTTTTTTTGCTATTGTAGGACGTGGTGTTTTTACACGGGAATATATTGCACCGTCAACTTTTGTGGTGGAGTACCGTGGAGTATTGGGTGTAAGTGAAGATCTAGATCTTCTTATTCGATTTCAACTGGTCTGGATGCACTTTTGGTGAGTTTGCTGCTTGTTGATTACCTCAAATGGATATTTGACCAGTATCAGATGTATGTGACTTCTTTATGAATTCAGTGCTTTTCTGTCATGATGCATGATGTTGTATCTGGACTATTTGTCTTGCAGCATTAATGCTTCAAAAGAGGATGGAACACTTGGACGTCTTACAAATGATAATCACAGGAATCCAAACTGCAGAGTGAAACAAATGGTTGTCAAAGGAACCCCACACGTGTGCCTATATTCTGTAAAGGAAATATTCCCAGAGGAGGAGATAACGTACAACTATGGGGATTCTGCTTGGCCCTGGCGCTTAAAGGTGAGGTTCTGTTCTCTTTAGGGCATTGCTTAACTGACAGAGGAAAAGTGTTGCATTTTTCTCCATGGTACTCCCACTCAGCTCAGTTAAGCAGATTTGATTTGTTTCAGTAAGAAATGTGTACTGTGTTAACATTATTTTCTGAATTTCACCTGATTAATAACAAGAGTCGATAATATCTTTCACTTATTTACAGGAAGTATGTGGTGGGGACACGAGAGAGTGTGTGTGTGTGTGTGTGTGTGTGTGTGTGTGTGTGTGTGTGTGTGTGTGTGTGTGTGTGTGTGTGTGTGTGTGTGTGTGTGTGTGTGTGTGTGTGTGTGTGTGTGTGTGTGTGTGTGTGTGTGTGTGTGTGTGTGTGTGTGTGTGTGTGTGTGTGTGTCAGCTCTTGACAAACAACCCTCCTCTCTGCATTTCTTGTAAACCAGGTGCTTGGAATGAAACCCTGATTGGTTAAGATTCTCTGTCACTCGTATCTTATCTACACATCTAACTGTTCACAAAAGGGATACACAGTGAAAGAAAACTAAGGAAATAAATCAAATAAATATATATATATATATAGAAATGTTATTGATTGGGATAAACCCCTTGAGATGCACCATCTCGTTTTCAAGGGGGTCCCGACAATAGCAACAACTTACAGACATACACAAAAAGACACACAAGACAAACCACATACAGTCTGTTCAGTGAAATTCAAGCAATGCACACAATCATTACAATTTGAGACAGTCGAATATTCAAATGAAAATATTTGTCAAATACACAGTGAGCTTGTATTGCTTTCTTATTCATCATGTTTTCAAAGTGGCGCCACGCTGCTGTAGTTCTTATAGATCCACGTGTTTCTTGTAAATCAGCTGCTTTAACTGAACAGGGACAAAGAAAGGAAACATGATGAACACTGATTGGTTTAGATTCTCTGTCACTCACTGCAGGAGAAGGTTTAATTGGCAACGTCATCCGGTGCCTAAGGGGCGGAACTCTTTAAAAAGTGAACCCATACAACAGCGCAGAAAAGAAGTTGAACTTTCCTGCAGAGTATCAACGTTCTCAGAGCATCATACGGTAAGGCATATATTCACGGATACTGTTTGTTCAAATGAATAGTTTATGTCTGGATGCGCTGTTTATTATAAAGTACCTGTGTTGGGTCTCCAGTGTGTTCATTATAGCATGATGGTATGTGCTTGGAACTGTCCTACATTTATTATACTACTTATCCTATTTTATGAAATGAACATGACTGTTTACGGGATCAGGACAACCTTTCAAAAGAAAATGTCTTCGAATGCAATCCCCTCATTTTGGGTATTATGTATGTAAATCATAGTTATTGTATTTCTATGTCTGATTATCACCCTGCTTACAAGAGATTGCGGTGGCGTGTGTGCATCGCAAGGCTCAGTGTCTGACTAGTTTTAGCAAATTAGTGCATTTCTACCTAATTATCTATGTAATTATCTCGTGTGTGTTCGCTCGATTCAGCTGAGCCAACTACTCATACAGCAGTATTTATAATATGCACCTTGTTTTTATTTATTTATAGCACATCTTGCATTTCTGGTTGGATACTAACTGCATTGCATTGGCACAATGGCAAGACAGTTGAATCTAATCTGATTAGATAAGGGTTAACACATTCAGGGCCCTCCCTACAGGCCAATCACGCAGGCTGCATGGGGCCCGCCTTGCGCAGGGGGCCCCGCCCGGAGGGCCTCAGCTGCTGTGCGCAGTTCCGCTCAGTTCTCTGCGCACCCCCCGCGAGAGTGAGAGTGAGAGGTGACAAGGGGAGCACGTCTGTAACCCGACACCGTTGCAATGAATCGACATCTGACCAATCACGGCTCTGATACGGCCACTAGTGCAGGTGAAGAGATGTTGGTGAAAAGACAGTTTCAGTCCGGCACAAGCAAGAGGGGGAAAAAACAAAACATGAAGAAACTAGAGCATCACTCGAAGGTGGGTTATTGTATGAGTCAAATGTACAACTTGTGAATGTTGTATAAGTCAAATTGCCAATTGCCATTAAAACATCAGCTGCAATTCAGGACATGAAGAAGGCAGTCTCTGCAGAGCATACAGGCTAATGGAGATGCAGTTATTTCCAGCACTCTTTATTTACCATTCATTCAAGTATGTGATGCCTTTGATCTGCTGATGTACAGGAGGAAGAGAGATAAACTGTCTGTCTACTTGGCTTACATAACACATGGTGATGCTCAGCCTCTCCCCTTAACTCCTAACAGTCATCATCATGGTGACGCTCAGCCTCTCCCCTTAACTCCTAACAGTCATCATCATGGTGACGCTCAGCCTCTCCCCTTAACTCCTAACAGTCATCGTCATGGTGATGCTCAGCCTCTCCCCTTAACTCCTAACAGTCATCATCATGGTGACGCTCAGCCTCTCCCCTTAACTCCTAACAGTCATCGTCATGGTGACGCTCAGCCTCTCCCCCATGGTGACGCTCAGCCCCTCTCCCCTTAACTCCTAACAGTCATCATCATGGTGACGCTCAGCCTCTCCCCTTAACTCCTAACAGTCATCATCATGGTGACGCTCAGCCTCTCCCCTTAACTCCTAACAGTCATCATCATGGTGACGCTCAGCCTCTCCCCTTAACTCCTAACAGTCATCATCATGGTGACGCTCAGCCTCTCCCCTTAACTCCTAACAGTCCATCCTCATGGTGACGCTCAGCCTCTCCCCTTAACTCCTAACAGTCATCATCATGGTGACGCTCAGCCTCTCCCCTTAACTCCTAACAGTCATCATCATGGTGACGCTCAGCCTCTCCCCTTAACTCCTAACAGTCATCATCATGGTGACGCTCAGCCTCTCCCCTTAACTCCTAACAGTCATCATCATGGTGACGCTCAGCCTCTCCCCTTAACTCCTAACAGTCATCATCATGGTGACGCTCAGCCTCTCCCCTTAACTCCTAACAGTCATCGTCATGGTGACTGCTCAGCCTCTCCCCTTAACTCCTAACAGTCATCATCATGGTGACGCTCAGCCTCTCCCCTTAACTCCTAACAGTCATCATCATGGTGACGCTCAGCCTCTCCCCTTAACTCCTAACAGTCATCGTCATGGTGACGCTCAGCCTCTCCCCTTAACTCCTAACAGTCATCATCATGGTGACGCTCAGCCTCTCCCCTTAACTCCTAACAGTCATCATCATGGTGACGCTCAGCCTCTCCCCTTAACTCCTAACAGTCATCAGTCATGGTGACGCTCAGCCTCTCCCCTTAACTCCTAACAGTCATCATCATGGTGACGCTCAGCCTCTCCCCTTAACTCCTAACAGTCATCATCATGGTGACGCTCAGCCCTCTCCCCTTAACTCCTAACAGTCATCATCATGGTGACGCTCAGCCTCTCCCCTTAACTCCTAACAGTCATCATCATGGTGATGCTCAGCCTCTCCCCTTAACTCCTAACAGTCATCATCATGGTGACGCTCAGCCTCTCCCCTTAGTCTAACAGTCATCATCATGGTGACGCTCACCCTCCCCCCTTAACTCCTAACAGTCATCATCATGGTGACGCTCAGCCTCTCCCCTTAACTCCTAACAGTCATCGTCATGGTGACGCTCAGCCTCTCCCCTTAACTCCTAACAGTCATCGCATGGTGATGCTCAGCCTCTCCCCTTAACTCCTAACAGTCATCATCATGGTGGCCGCTCAGCCTCTCCCCTTAACTCCTAACAGTCATCATCATGGTGACGCTAAGCCTCTCCCCTTAACTCCTAACAGTCATCGTCATGGTGACGCTCAGCCTCTCCCCTTAACTCCTAACAGTCATCATGGTGACGCTCAGCCTATCCCCTTAACTCCTAACAGTCATCATCATGGTGACGCTAAGCCTCTCCCGTAACCTCCTAACAGTCATCAGTCATGGTGATGCCTCAGCCTCCCTTAACTCCTAAACAGTCATGGTGACGCTCAGCCTCTCCCCTTAACTCCTAACAGTCATCATCATGGTGACGCTCAGCCTCTCCCCTTAACTCCTAACAGTCATCATCATGGTGACGCTCAGCCTCTCCCCTTAACTCCTAACAGTCATCATCATGGTGACGCTCAGCCTCTCCCCTTAACTCCTAACAGTCATCATCATGGTGACGCTCAGCCTCTCCCCTTAACTCCTAACAGTCATCATCATGGTGACGCTCAGCCTCTCCCCTTAACTCCTAACAGTCATCATCATGGTGACGCTCAGCCTCTCCCCTTAACTCCTAACAGTCATCATCATGGTGACGCTCAGCCTCTCCCCTTAACTCCTAACAGTCATCGTCATGGTGACGCTCAGCCTCTCCCCTTAACTCCTAACAGTCATCATCATGGTGACGCTCAGCCTCTCCCCTTAACTCCTAACAGTCATCATCATGGTGACGCTCAGCCTCTCCCTTAACTCCTAACAGTCATCATCATGGTGACGCTCAAGCCTCTCCCCTTAACTCCTAACAGTTCATCATCATGGTGACGCTCAGCCTCTCCCCTTACTCCTAACAGTCATCGTCATGGTGACGCTCAGCCTCTCCCCTTAACTCCTAACAGTCATCATCATGGTGACGCTCAGCCTCTCCCCTTAACTCCTAACAGTCATCATCATGGTGACGCTCAGCCTCTCCCCTTAACTCCTAACAGTCATCATCATGGTGACGCTCAGCCTCTCCCCTTAACTCCTAACAGTCATCATGGTGACGCTCAGCCTCTCCCCTTAACTCCTAAACAGTCTCATCATGGTGACGCTCAGCCTCTCCCCCTTAACTCCTAACAGTCATCATCATGGTGACGCTCAGCCTCTCCCCTTAACTCCTAACAGTCATCATCATGGTGACGCTCAGCCTCTCCCTTAACTCCTAACCTAGTCATCATCATGGGACGCTCAGCCTCTCCCCTTAACTCCTAACAGTCATCATCATGGGTGACGCTCAGCCTCTCCCCTTAACTCCTAACAGTCATCATGGTGACGCTCAGCCTCTCCCCTTAACTCCTAACAGTCATCATCATGGTGACGCTCAGCCTCTCCCCTTTAACTCCTAACAGTCATCATCATGGTGACGCTCAGCCTCTCCCCTTAAACTCCTAACAGTCATCTCATGGTGACTGCCTCAGCCATCGTCCCCTTAAACTCCTAACTAGTCATCATCATGGTGACGCTCAGCCCTCTCCCCTTAACTCCTATAACAGTCATCATCATGTGGATGCTCAGCCTCCCCCGTAACCTCCTAACAGTCATCTCATGGTGATGCTCAGCCTCGTCCCTTAACTCCATAAAGTCATCATCATGGTGACCGCTCAGCCTCTCCCCTTAACTCCTAACAGCAGTCATCTCATGGTGACGCTCAGCCTCTCCCCTTAACTCCTAACAGTCATCTTCATGGTGCGCTCAGCCTCTCCCCTTAACTCCTAACAGTCATCATTCATGGTGACGCTCAGCCTCTCTCCTTAACTCCTAACAGTCATCGTCATGGTGACGCTCAGCCTCTCCCCTTAACTCCTAACAGTCATCGTCATGTGTGACGCTTCAGCCCTCTCCCCTTAACTCCTAACAGTCATCTCTATGTGATGCTCAGCCTCTCCCCTTAACTCCTAACAGTCATCATCATGGTGACGCTCAGCCTCTCCCCTTAACTCCTAACAGTCATCATCATGGTGACGCTCAGCCTCTCCCCTTAACTCCTAACGTCATCATCATGGTGACTGCTCAGCCTCTCCCCTTAACTCCTAACAGTCATCATCATGGTGACGCTCAGCCTCTCCCCTTAACTCCTAACAGTCATCATCATGGTGACGCTCAGCCTCTCCCCTTAACTCCTAACAGTCATCATCATGGTGACGCTCAGCCTCTCCCCTTAACTCCCGAACAGTCATCATCATGGTGACGCTCAGCCTCTCCCCTTAACTCCTAACAGTCATCATCATGGTGACGCTCAGCCTCTCCCCTTAACTCCTAACAGTCATCATCATGGTGACGCTCAGCCTCTCCCCTTAACTCCTAACAGTCATCATCATGGTGACGCTCAGCCTCTCCCCTTAACTCCTAACAGTCATCGTCATGGTGACGCTCAGCCTCTCCCCTTAACTCCTAACAGTCATCATCATGGTGACTGTTCAGCCTCTCCCCTTAACTCCTAACAGTCATCATCATGGTGACGCTCAGCCTCTCCCCTTAACTCCTAACAGTCATCATCATGGTGACGCTCAGCCTCTCCCCTTAACTCCTAACAGTCATCATCATGGTGACGCTCAGCCTCTCCCCTTAACTCCTAACAGTCATCATCCTGGTGACGCTCAGCCTCTCCCCTTAACTCCTAACAGTCATCATCATGGTGACGCTCAGCCTCTCCCCTTAACCTCCTAACAGTCATCATCATGGTGACGCTCAGCCTTCTCCCCTTAACTCCTAACAGTCATCATCATGGTGACGCTCAGCCTCTCCCCTTAACTCCTAACAGTCATCCATGGTGACGCTCAGCCTCTCCCCTTAACTCCTAACAGTCATCATCATGGTGACGCTCAGCCTCTCCCCTTAACTCCTAACAGTCATCATCATGGTGACGCTCAGCCTCTCCCCTTAACTCCTAACAGTCATCATCATGGTGACGCTCAGCCTCTCCCCTTAACTCCTAACAGTCATCATCATGGTGACGCTCAGCCTCTCCCCTTAACTCCTAACAGTCATCATCATGGTGACGCTCAGCCTCTCCCCTTAACTCCTAACAGTCATCATGGTGACGCTCAGCCTCTCCCCTTAACTCCTAACAGTCATCATCATGGTGACGCTCAGCCTCTCCCCTTAACTCCTAACAGTCATCATCATGGTGACGCTCAGCCTCTCCCTTAACTCCTAACAGTCATCATCATGGTGACGCTCAGCCTCTCCCCTTAACTCCTAGCAGTCATCATCATGGTGACGCTCAGCCTCTCCCCTTAACTCCTAACAGTCATCA